CTCCCGCTGATTACGTCTTCCCTTTTGTGAAGACAGACTCGTCTCAGACAGAAGATGCTCCTTTTCCTCTTGCAAATATTCAGGCTTAGGGCGCAGACCTGGGGAGCACAGAACTGCCTGTGGAGCGGAGAGTCAAAGCTGCGGAGAGCACAGGGCTGCTCACATGTACAGGTACCATGCCAAATGGAGCTTATATCTACTTACTTTCATCTTATTGTAGTTTTAAATCCACCCTTTGAGAAGTTTATTAACCTACAGCTGATCTGCCACACCATTATGACCATTAAAAACCACGTATCCAGCTCATATGAACCAGATAGGAGCAAATCCTGCTCTCAACAAAGTCAATGAGGAAATTCATGGGAATTTAGTGGGAACGGTTAGACCAAATTTAGTACCTGTTGTGGTATCCGAGACTGACAAGCTTGAACCAGGCATATAGACGTATAGAGGCTAAATTTCACTTTAAGCATTTATACTGTTTTAGAAAACTAAGTAAAACAAAGAATCACATTCTAACATGATTCATGACAACATATGAAAAAAACCCCCACACTCAATTTAAGAACAAAACCAAGCAAAGTCCCATGAGTTTCTGCCCTCAGGGTAACAAACCTTAAAGCTTCCAAAACGAGAAGGCAAATTAAAAGGAACAAACTATGTATTTGTCTCGTAACTTATGCATTTTTATGCTCGCAGAGCTGACAATGCTGCCCTTTCCTACCACGTTAATGCAAGAGCTCTCCTTTGTGTAGTAGGAAAAAACAGACGCACAGAGGTGAATGTAGCAAGACAGATGCTTACCGACTAGCAGAGAAGGAACCAGCAGGCAGTAATTACAAAACTTCTTTCTTAGGGCTGCAGCAGGTCATTGACTCAAGCAAATTTCAAGGTGTGGGCCGCAGCAGAAAAGTACGTTAGGAAAAAGTTCCTGTACCAAAATAACTCAGCAGCAGTGCAGACTGAAGAAATAGGGAGCTTGCCAGGAAAAGCGTACTCGGGAAAGGGGTTTGCCTGGTGGTTTTGTTGGTGGCTTATTCTTACCTTAGGCTTTTCATGAGCTATGGTAGTTTTCACTACCACTGCCATGCTATTGTCTCTCTGCGTTCTGCTCAGTAGCTATAAACCTGTAGTGCCTTCACACTGCTACCAGTAAGACTCCTCCTCTACCCAGTATACCTTCAGAGAAGGTATCTACTATAGCTTTACCCTATGCTGCAGTCTGATATATACAGATTATTGCTGACTTTAAGCATTCAAAATTAGGAGTCAATACGACTGCCAGACTCTGTATCTCAAGTACGGAACCCTGCTTTGCTGATTTGCAATGTAATTATCCTGATGACAGGATCCACGGCACCTCCCTTCAAATGGCTGCGGTGCCCCTGGGGGTACGGCAGAGGTATCGTCATACCCAAGGGTTTCACCTTCAACACGGCCGTCCACGTTTCATTACAGGCGGTTTTTGGCAGATCGACAAAGCAGCAGCAAATTCAAGTTCCTCAGAACACCACTATCATTTGCTGAACTACTTTGTGTAGTTACAAGAATGGAAAGAGAGACTAACAATACACGATAAACATTTTCTGCTGAAGAAAACGTTAACATTGCAATTCAGTCTCAAGAACAACAGAGCACTGGAAACACACTGTCTTGGCAGATTTGCAAACCTTCTGCCCAAAATCTCAAATACAGTCCTGAAAACAACCTCACATGGCCCTTAAGGAAAAGTAAATGGATATGCATCATGCTTCCTTGCAAAAATCAATGACCAACTTCATTACTTATGCACAGGCTGCAACATCAGCTGCCTCACGTAAGCGATGCAATGCCAAACACCAAGCGAGTTTCAGTTGCCTAGCCAAGTAGTTATTATGGTCTAATTCACTTCTCCACACATTGTCTTAAATACAATGGGTGTTTACACTAAAATTGTTATTTTTGCTAAACCAATCAGAAGCTCTTCCTCACACAAACCATCCAGCCGCCCCACAGTTTGCCTGCCTTTCCTAGTCCCTGCACAGCTGTTCCTTCTTGAAACATCTGACACCTGCAAATGGCCTGTCTCCCCACACTTCAGTCTTACATATCTGAAATTCTGTCCTGTTAGGACACACGCATTTTATGGGAGAACTGCTAGGACACAGTAGATGCATCCCACTTCTGAGCAGCCTTAGGATACTTCAGTGAAAGATGAGATTATGGCCATAGCTTCTGCAATGAAAAGGAGTCAGCATGCTGGTCAAGTTGGTGCACAAAAGCATTTATGACTTCTTGGAAAGAATCACATTCTGCAGTTAGCTTCCAGAACTGGTAGTTTTATTCTGCTAGACAGAATGTTCTCTGTAATTTAGCTGGATATGAAATTTGTCTTTGGTGATTTTCAGCTGTTACATAGCTATGTGTCAGTGGTAAATGAGAGCTTCCCTATATACTTAAACAAAAATAAAAGGTCAGATGGTTGTAAGAGAACTAATTACACAAATCTCTGTATAATTTCTGCACATTTGACAAACCTTTCACACATGCATACAAAGTTCCTAGATTTACTATATAGTTCTACTGCATGCATGTTTTAAAAAAGTCAGGAATTTTCAGAACAATGAATGAAACTTGATCCTTTTAGATTACTTTTAAGCAGCGATTAATCCAGCATCATAAAACTTCTGACATTACTTTCATACATTAATATTTCTGATATAGTAGGCATAGGGAGATTGCTTGATCAAGGTCCAGTACATCCATGACAGAGAGAGCATGTATATGGGTTTTATTCCTATGCCACAATTCAGCTCTCATGCCTGGTCTTCTCCTGCAGCATGTTTTTTCCCAGTTTATACAGCAAACTATCCTCTATGCTAATGAATTAAAAGTTAATAAAACCATGGTAGCCTTGGTTTGAAGACTTTACGTGCAAGTGTACATATTACTAAGTAGCACGTCTTTATGATATAAAAAGTTCTTCTATTACAGGTGGGCCAAATGCTGCAATACATCCATCAGCCTATGTGAAGAACTTGCATGATTTATTTTATACACAACCCATTTCAACAGAAGTAAGGATCCAGCTACTCAAGGGACTGTCTTGTCTGTTATTTAAATAAAATCAATCAAGAAAAAGCACAAGATTTAAATCAAATAAGCATTCTTCTTTACCATCTTGATGAAAATAAGGAAGAGCCAGATGCAGATAATGTATGCAAATTCTGGATGTGTTGCTTTCTGGCAGTTCTTTGTTCTAACAGCAGCACCTGTATTATAGCAGTTCACAGAGCAGGAGGTAAAATGGTGGAAAAGTTGCACTTGCTGTCTCAGTTGGATTGGTCTGCCTGGCCAGCTAACTATGCAACAGTGCTTTCTTCCCTTCTACAGTTTCTGCAAATGCAAAATATTCCTGATGTTTAAAAATAAAGCCACCTCAATAATGACTGTTAATATGAATAAACTAAACTGCACTGCATAAAGACTATTGTAACAAGTTAAATTTTATGTGTTTCCTTATTTTCTATTGTTGAAGAACTACTTTGATGTGAAAATTGCTCAGAATCTGAGATAGGAGGAGAGGTTTAAGTCACTTGACAGTATTATCTATTTCTTTTGATCAGAAAACAAAGGTTACTCTACAGAGCAGTTATCCAGCATCCAGTTGTTTTTGTTTTCTCAAACACATCATCAGTACAAATTAAAGGACACACCTTTATCACCATTTCTGCACTGTGATGGAAAGGATTATGTCTAAGCACCCTCTAGAGCACAAATTAGAAGGTATAATCTTTTATTTACAAAGTTCCCAGGAAAATGTGATGCCTCACCTTCTGCTTACCAGATTCAAGGCGAAATGGAAGCCAGAAGGACCATTACTTCCTACAACAGTTGGGACATTCACAACTGATTTCAGTTGTGAAACATCTATTAAGTGACACCCACAGGGAGACAATAAAATGGAAGGAATCTAAAGGTGCCAATCTGATGGCTCCACAGATTTATTCACACACAGCCTGAAGCACCTGTTTTGGCAAAGCCTGACAGATCCATAAACCAGAATCCCTCCAATTATCTCCCCCTCGTGAAAGCCGCTCAGCTTTAAGCTCTTCACAAGATACTGCAATGGCCACCATCTTTTAAAGCCTATACTTGGAAGACTTTGATACAGAACAACTGCTGAGTTCACTCAGGTCTGGAAAACCTGTATTCAATGTATGCTCCCCTTCTACCTCAGTCACTTTCAACAGCAAGCATTTCCCCCCCCACCATATGGATGTCAGATAAGGTGCTCAAAGTTTTTAAAAAAAAAAAAGAGTTCTTTTTATTTCTGTAAACCCTTCAGAATATCACTGTCTTGGTAAAAAGGTGCCTCATCTCTTGGTAAATATCAGAGCAGTATTTTGAAAACAGACCTTGAGTTTCCTTTCAGAGTAGCTGTGCAGTGTAGGTTGCTTTATCTCAATCTAATTTTCAGTACAGCTGCAATCACGAGCAAGAACACACCACCTTTTCTTTATAGGCCAATAAATGTATTTCTAAAATAGACTGTCTAATACTTTCTACTTACACAAGCTCTCATCTATACATCTTGGAAAAAGCTCTTTTAAAAGACAGAGGCAATTATTACAAAAACAAAACAAAAATCACAACCCTGACTTTCATTACCCATTCTTGACTTTCTGAACGTCACCAACAGCACACAAGTTTTGCCTCCCCTATCCACCAAACGCACTCCATTCTCCAGAATTCTGGAAACGTAAGGAGTTAAAAACTGCCCAGGCACTCCCTACAAAATTTGAAAGCTTCCATCTACAGTAGTCACAATTGACTTAAATCTAGAACTAGCCATTCCCCACTCAAAACAAGAGGCTATTTTGGTAAGGCAAAGATTTATTTATCAATTTGCATATATCATGTCAGACCAACTGATAAGATATTTACACAACTGTTTGAAATACACAGTATTTGCATTTTATACAAGCAACTAAGAGCAGCCTGTAGTAAGTTTTCTACGCAGTATCCAGATACTCCCACCGCTACATAATTCCAGTTAAAAACCAACATCTGTAATGCTTCCACAAAAGTTCCTATACCTGAGAAGTTTTAGTATATCCTTTCAAGAGGAAGTCTGCAATTAAAAGCCACATACATAAGCCTATTTAAAGGTTGTCATTCCAGTTGCAAGTCACTTGCTTCCTTTGAAGCAAGATCCAATATACTCTCCCTTAAGCCGCATGATACTTGTGATGGCCCTTCTTCAGGAGTGCTGTCTGCATCATCTCCACAGTTAAGCTCTTCATTTTCTTGTTTGGATTCCTCTAGAGCCAGACTCTTCAGTGTCTCAAGATCAACAGGTGCTTGCCCAGTTAGCCTCTAGAAAGAAACAGAAGACAATGAACTTAATACTTTTTCTACTTAATTAGCCAGTGAAATAAGATTGTGCATATTGAATTAAGCAAACTAGTTATCTTCATTTAGAGGTTGTTGATATAATTAAAACACTCCTCAGTCACAAAAATCTTAGACACTTGAGTTCAACTCAAATTGCTACCTCTAACTCACAGACCACACCTGCTTTGTTGACTGTTAAGTCTTCCTTAGGTTCTTCAGGACAGGTTTTATCTTAGGCAACCTAAAACATGGGAAACAGCTCCCAAGTTAAATATTACTGTAGTACTATATAGGTTTAATTTTAGAAAAATCACTATACAACAGGTTAGGTTCATAATATTTAGTCAGATATAATGAAGCTACGTTAAGTCAAGAAGATGCAGCAGTTCCTAGCACTTGATGATCAAACTAAACGTTCCTCACCTAACCTGATCTAAAGAAAAACAGGACTGTAAAAGGCTACTTTTGAGGCTTCTGGTTGTTTGATATATCACTTAAGGCTCATTAAAGCCTCAGAAGTAAGCAGCTTACAACTAATAAGTGAACTCAACTGCTGAGGAACTGCAGAGAGGTTTCCAACTACACTAGTTCTTTAAGTCCTTAAGTCATTTATTTTCTGCCTGTGGGCTTATCATTAAAAAGAACACCCCCTGAACACAAAAAAAAATTCAAGTGTAGCAAATTAGTGGATCTCTCAAGACTGTTCTAAATAATTGCACTAACTGAAAATTAACTTGATCAAGTTTACTTCTTGATTAACCAAGTTGCTTGCTATAATCTTCCATTTTGTTTCCACCTCCCCAGTCTAATCAGAGAATCAAGATATTTAGCAGGCACACAGCTTCATATTCCAGTTGAGAGCTCAATCCCTACAAAACAACCTAGCTGATAATTTTAGTATCAAGGTTCCATGGCTATATATTTATCACAGCTTCAGAAACTGTTACAGACAATCCATTCCCAGTAGAAGAGTCATGGAACCAGTGACACAACTACCTGTCCCCAAGGGATTATCAGAGGAAGCTGTTTTGAAATTTACAAGTTTATGAACCCTACAGACTTTGTGCATTAGCCCCTTTTGGGCCATGAAACTGGCAATTCCTCAGTGAAACCTTGACTTTAAAGAGCATAGGTGCTCCTTTCTCCCTCTCACTGTTCTGCTTAGTGTCCCTGTTTCAAGTTTAGTTCCTCAAAGGACACAGCCAGTACAAACACTTCACGTCATCTCAGAAAAGTGAAAATTAACACTTCCTTCCCTTGTCACAATATCTAACATGCAAAGCCTGTTCTGTCAAGGCAACAGGTTGAATCTCCCCCTCAGAAAACATCACTCTTAGTACTTCCTCATTATTCCTGTGGGTTCCAAGGTGGAAAAACTCATCCCCTGGAAGGGAATTTATGCCCCTGGATTAGAGCAATCCCACAGAAAATTAAATTACTGTCTGACTTGTTTCAAGACTTGTGTAAGCACACAAAACAGAAGTCATGATTCATTAAAAATACCTTTGCTGGTTTCTCACTTTTTCATTCTACAACATTAACTGAAAATTCCTTTAAGTACCTCAATCATGCTGGTCATATAATGCACATGTTCAGCAAGGGACATTAGCTCTTCATTTTCTTCTTTTAGGCGGGCAATTTCACCATCTTTCTGTTCAATTTCTTTGTGCAACTGAGTTCAAATAACAAAATGTTAAAACAGGAAGACAACAGCCAGTGTTAAAGAAGCTAGTTATCTTTCACTAGCTACCTTTTCATTTTCTTGAAGCACTTCATAAAGAGCCTTCCTCCTTTCTTCAGCCACTTCTTTCCAATACTGAGATGAAGGACTTCCTGAAGTAAGAAGCTACAGTAAGTCTGTGCTAAGACTGGATTCTTAAGATCACCTTAAGACAGCCAACTTTTGTATACAAGTGTTCTATAAACTGTGATAAGAACTCACCCTATATAGAGTTTTCCCAGAGATTAGTTCTAAACTTACAACTAGAGACATAAGCTTACAGAAAACAGAGTTCCTACACTGTATTAATGGCTATACAGGTAGAGTCAAGAAGTTGCCTCAAGCATGGCAGCAGGCTTTGCAAGATGGTCACATTTGCAAATGTCAGTCTTAATGTGTACTTTGTGGAAGACAGAAGTCTTACTCCCAAGTCACTGTCCATATTGGGCTTAATGGTTCTGAGAAACTGCACACACAGCACACTATGCCAAAACAGGGCTTCATTTCAACTTAATTATTAGTCACTCAAAAGCTCATAGCCAAGGCAAAGTAACAAACTACAGGACTTCTTAACACTGCTTGCACACAGTGGTTCTCAGCTACTGGTTAGGATAAACTCATTCTTAAACATTAGATATCTATACTGTATTTACTATACTATAGAGGATAAGTATCATTAATTCCTGCTAAGCATTAAAAAACCCCACAAAGCCCTTATCTAACTGACAAAGGAACCATGTTTCAAGTTATGTTCCAATGCCAGCATAGCATTTTAAGTGCAAGAACACACTTCAGGAATTACCATATACCTTTTATCATGAGATCTACAGCTTGAATGACATCATTCGTATTCCCATTTTCTTGCTCCTTGTCCACAGACACCTCAGCTTTACAAGCCTTTGAGGTGACCTTGTTATTCCAGAGTTTCCTTTTGACTGAAGATTTCTTCTGCATAAAACAGAAGCAGGTTTAACTTCAGAGCAACATTTCAGCTTTTTTAAAAATACATACTTGTAACTCTGCTCACTCATGACTGCAAATAAGTCTTTATAAGCTCCGCTTTCTTCACAGTATAGTTCTAGGTTGCAGACATCTTCCTTGATACCCATAGGTTTAACAAAAGAAAAATCTCATTTTCCTGAAGTACTCAGAAATCCCTAGTTTTTAATATTGTTTATTACTAAAACAATAGTAAGCTTAAGTTATGTCACACATCTGTTAGCAGGTTATGTTTTTTTCAAATATATTAGTTTTCAGTTAAAAGCTCAAAAGCATTTCACTACGAGTAGAAATAATTACACATCTACAGGTTATCTTTTAATTCATACCTCATTATGTCTGCCAACCAGGCAACCTGTTGCTGAAGGCTGAATCATTTTAAGAGTCCGTCTTGGGGCAGCACTGCATCTGGTGTCTGTGAGGTACTTCTGAAAACACAAATATGGCTTCAGATGATTGCCAATCTTCTCCATATGAACTGAAACTTAGGAATTTGTCATGCTTCCATTAAGGTAACCCATGGTTCATCTTCTCAAGACAAAAGATGATACTTTAGACTATGTTAAGGCTTGTGTAAAGAACGGGATCTAGTTATTTGTAGCAGGGATGGATCTTAGTCACATGAAGTTATGTTCAGTCCCTCTTAGAAAACTCTTATACCCTTCATAAAGGAACCTGAACAGGTCTTACAGCAGAAATATTCTGACTAGATTTCAAGGCCAGTTATAGCACAGTGACGCATGTAAACTTTAGCTGAAGCTCTCAAAGTTATATTTTTGACAACAGCAGTATTAGATTTTGGTGGACAGAGACAAAAGTGACTGCAATTGCAAGGTCATATGGTAAAAAAATTACACACACCACTTCAGGCAGTACCTGGTTTTTGTTACCTGTGAACACACCCTCAAGTGGTGCTCATTTAAATAGATGTGTTGCTTCAATTATCCATTAAAATGGATCTAAAGCTTTCTTGCTTCGATCCAGACAGGCTATTGTTTTGTATAAACAGTATGTTTATCACCTTTCCTGTCATGCATAAGTACCCATTTACTGCATTAAACCTTTCTGATTGGGTTGGTTACACTGCCACCATGGGATAGCAAACAGTGGCAGACAACCAAGCAAGAATAGCCAGAATACAATGCCACACCAGCGTGAGAAAGTTACCGATTCACACTGTACTTCACATGACCAGAGTTCGCCTTCCCACGGTAGTTTCTGCCACCAATTATCCTACTGTTGAACTAAAGGACAAACACTAACTACTGTGGGAACAAGAATCACTCTGTGTGTCAGACACTGCTTGCTGCTTTTAAAGGTTAGAGTTAAGTACACTCTGCCAAGAAATTATTGACTAATACTCGAGTTAACCCACTGAAAGTGCAAAAAGCCACACTGAGGAATTTATACCCTAGAGCCACTATAGGACAAGATTACCATGTATATAAGTCAGACTTATCAATTGGCAATTTTCATTAATACCAGAAATTTTCATCACAATCACTCTATGCCTCAGGATAAAGGGCTACTAACCTCTATTTTATATGGTATTTGTACAATTCCGGTTAGGGCCTACATTAAATGGTTTAACAAAAGTCTTGTAACAAGACTGGAATAGGTATAAACTGTAGTAACTTCTTACCAGTCACCTCCTAAAAACTTAACTCCTTTACAAATTCCCACCAATTCCAAGGCAACTATGGTTCATGGGGGTGACTGTAGAAACAGAACTGCCTACATGAATACTTCAGTTAAACCATGCTCAAGTTAAGACAGATTTAACTCTTAGTAAGTTCATCCCTATAAAGGGCAGGCTATAGAACCTACTCTACAACCCCTTAGTAGCCAGACTGATTCAGTAATCAAACTAAGGCAGGTAGCCAGCACATAAAAACAAAAGTGTCACATGGAAAGACAGCAAGCTCAGCGTCAAAGTAAAACAGACTTGCTGAGCAGTAAGAAAAAAAAGTAGTCATAAGCACATATGCCCAAGCGGGACAGGTTGTTCCCAAGCCACGCTGCCTGCCAGGAGGTTACTCAAGCCAACAGGACATAAGCCAGGTGGAAGCACATTGCAACAGATCCCTTTATATTCCGTCAGTGGATGTAAAACTTGTGTCAGAGGGACCATTTCCTAGAGAACTCGGTGCAAGCCTCGCAACAAAGCAAATGCTGCGCTTGAGATACTCTTGATAAATTTCATCTTCTATTTTCTGTCCCTTATCGGCTCCCATATTCTAGTTTTAAGACTTTAAAGGCTATACCTGCAAAGATCCTGATGATTTCTCCGCTTTCGGTTTCTGTCTCATCTTGGAATTCATAGGATCACTGCGAAAAAAAGGTAAAAAAATAATAACAGCCGGCTGCAACTGAAGTTCAGGCTCACTCCTGACAGAATAGTGCAATTTCAGCTTATCGACTTCTATGGCAGTGGTGGTGGCGGGAGGGGGGGGTGTCTACCACACACGCATACCCAAGATGGCGGG